ACTGAAGTCACTGTCATGTAAATGCTATTTTTTGTTTCAATTTTTAGAACCAACCTAGAGTCAAATCACAAAGATTTAAATATAGCTACAGAAGAGACTATAAATATTAACAACTTTCACAATGTAAAATTAAAATATGGCTGACTGACCTTGAGAAGTAGAAGTAGGGAAGAGAGGAGAAAGGAAGAGTTGGGGTGCTGTTTACTACATAGGAACTCAGGAGACAAGGCTTCAAGATGAGAGAACAAGAAATACCAGTTTTAGGTATATTATTTAAAGGTTAAAAAATAAAATATTGCCCAGCGTAGTGGCTCATGCCTGTAATCCCAGCACTTTGGGAGGCCAAGGCGGGCATATCACTAGGTCAAGAGATTGAGACCATCCTAGCCAACATGGTGAAACCCTGTCTTACCAAAAACTTAGCTGGGCATGGTGGCACACACCTATAATCCCAGCTACTCAAGAGGCTGAGGCAGGATAATTGCTTGAACCCAGGAGGCAGAGGTTGCAGTGAGCCAAGATTGTACCACTGCACTCTAGCCTGGCAACAGAGTGAGACTCCATCTCAAAAAAACAAAACAAAACAAAACAAAAAACTATTGACTAGCAAAAATGCCAAGGACATGTAGAGAAGACAAAAAATGTGAGCCAGTTAAATCTTGATCTTTCTTATTGGCAAGTCAATAAATAATGTCTTACATTTAAGGGGGGGATTACAGGTACCCGCCACCATACCTGGCTTATTTATTTATTTATTTATTTATGAGACGGAGTTTCACTCTTGTTGCCCAGGCTGGAGTGAAATGGCATGATCTCGGCTTACTGCAACCTCTACCTCCTGGGTTCAAGTGATTCTCCTGCCTTAGCCTCCCGAGTAGCTGGAATTATAGGCATGCACCACCACACCTGGCTAATTTTGTATTTTTACTAGAGACAGGGTTTCTCCATGTTGATCAGGCTGGTCTTGAACTCCCGACCTCAGGTGATCCGCCCACCTCGGCCTCCCAAAGTGCTGGGATTACAGACATAAGCCACTGCACCTGGCCAATTTTTTTTTATATTTTACTAGAGATGGGGTTTCACAATATTGGCCAGGCTGGTCTCAAACTCCTAACCTCAGGTGATCCACCCACCTTAGCCTCCCAAAGTGCTAGAATTACAGGTGTGAGCCACCATGCCCAGCCTATTCCCTTTGATGATAAATCCTTTATAATTTATTTATTTTCAAGAGAGAATATCACTCTGTCACCCAGGCTGGAGTGTAATGGTGTCATCATATCTCACTGTAACCTCAAACTCTGAGGCTCAAGTGATCCTCCCACCTCACCTCCTGAGTAGCTGGGACTATAGGTGCATACCACCATACCCACTAATTTTATTATTATTATTTTTTTTTTTGAGGCAGAGTCTCACTCTGTTACCAGGCTGGAGTGCAGTGATGCGATCTTGGCTCACTGTAACCTCCAACTACCTGATTCAAGCAATTCTTCTGCCTCAGCCTCCCGAGTAGCTGGGATTACAGGCACATGCCACCATGCCCAGCATTTTTAGTAGAGACGGGGTTTCATCATGTTGGTCAGGATGGTCTCCATCTCTTGACCTTGTGATCTGCCTGTGTCAGCCTCCCAAAGTGCTGGAATTACAGGCATGAGCCACCACGCCCAGCCTATTTTATTTTATATTGTTTTGTAGGGATGGGGTTGCCCTATGTTGTCCAGACTAGTCTCAAACCTTGGCCTCAAGCAATCCTCCCACCCTGACTTCCCAAAGTGCTGCGATTATAGTCATGAGCTACTGTGCTCAGCCAATATTTTCTTATTTTTTGTAGAGATGGGGTTCTTGTTTATTTTGTATTATTTGAATATATTACTTTATTAGAAATTTAAAAGAGAAAATATAACAAAATAAAAGTTACTCTATAAATATGGGTTTCCTCCGTTATTTTTTTTTAAGATTTCAAGCACCTTACTAAGGAATAATTTCCCATTGTGGTACTAGGATCCATTAGTCTCACTGTCCATTTTAACACCCTTCATTTGCATATTGACTACCTATGAGGAGCCAAAGATAGATCAGTGAAAAAACTGACAAGTCCTTGATCTCCAGGAGCTTATATTTTAGTGGGGACAGGAGAGATACAAAACGAATGAATAGGCCAGGTTCAGTGGCTCACACCTATAATCCTAGCTATTTGGAAAGCTGTTGGACAGCTGAGGCAAGAGAACTGCTTGAACCACGGAGGTGGAAGATGCAGTTAGCTGAGATTGTGCCACTGCACTCCAGCCTAGGAAACAGCATGAGACTTTGACTCAAAAAAGAAAGAAAGAAAAAAGAATAAACAAGAACTGTAAAATGTTTTATAGGTGCTATAGTAGTCTGATAAGGTCAATTAAGAAAGCAAATTTTGAATGAGACTTGAATGATGAGAAAAATGCAGTCACACAAAGATGTAAGGGAATAATATTTTGGGCAGAGAGAACAATTATGGCAGGAATAAGTTTGATGTGTTCAAGAAACAGAAAGCAGACCAGAGGAATAAGCAAGAAGTGACTGAGTACTGCTTGTGGAGCCAGGGACCCAAATCTAATTCTTTAGATCCCAAATTGGTTGTTTTTATCTCTATGCTAGTAGCATGAACAAATTGAGATTGAAGTTTCTGGAATAAAGCAGCAGGCAGTTGAAAATATGGTCTGGAGTTCAGGAAAACACTATAGTGGGCTAAATGGTGGTACCCAAAGATACCAGGTCCTAATCCCTGGAACCTGTGAATGTTATTTTCTATAGCAAAGTTTTCACAGATAGGACTAAATTAAGAAACTTGAGATAAAGGCATTATCCTGGATTATTCAGGTGGTCCCCTACATGCCATCACAAGTATCCTTATAAGAGAGAGGCAGCCAGGCATAATGGCTCATGCCTGTAATCCCAGTACTTTGAGAGGCCAAAGTGGGAGAATCACTTGAGGCCTGGAGTTCAAGACCAGTGTGGGGAATGCAACAAGAACCCCATCTCTACAAAAAATAAGAAAAAAAAAATTTAAGAAAAAAGAGAGAAAAGGCAGAGGGAGATTATACACACCAAGAGAAAAGAACACAATGTGGTCACAGAGGCAGTGATTGCAGTGATATGACCATAAGTCATGGAAGCCCCCAGAACCACCAGAAGCTGGAAGAGGCAAGGAAGCATTCCCTATTAGAAGCTCCACATGGAGTGTGGACCTGCTGATACCTTGATTTCATCTTAGTGATATTGATTTTGGACTTCTGGTCCCTAGAACCATGAGAAGGCAAATTTCTGTTGTTTTAAGCCACCAAGTTTGTGGTAATTTGTTCCTGTAGCAATAGGAAACTAATACAGGCATTTTAGGCATGAACTATAGATTTGAGCATTATCAGTATATAGCTAGTAGCTATATGAAGCTCTGTGAGTGGCTGAGAGCATTCAAGGAGAAACTACAGTAAGAGAACCAGGGCTAGAGGCTGGAGTTCATAGGTGTTAAAGAGCTGCCAGCTTCTGGTTAAAGATGATAGAGTCAACAGATAGTTACTTCTGCTACTCCTTACCAAAATGAAAGAGAATTTTCTTTCAAGATAAAAGTTCAAAACAGAGAAAAGACAAAAGACATGATAACATAACACTTTGGAAGTATAACTTGGCCCTCTGTATTGTGGTTTCTGCATCCATGGATTCAGCCAACTGTGGACCAAAAATATCTATTAAAACCTATAAAAAATAATAATACAACAATAAAAAATAATATAAAATGCAGGCCAGGAACAGTGGCTGACGCCTATAATTCCAGCACTTTGGGAGGCCAAGGTGGGTAGATCACCTGAGGTCAGGAGTTCAAGATCAGCCAGGCCAACGTGGTGAAACCCCATTCTCTACTAAAAATACAAAAATTAGCTGGCCATGGTGGTGCATGCCTGTAGTCCCAGCTACTCGGGAAACTGAAGCAAGACAATTGCTTGAGCCTAGGAGGCAGCAGTTGCAGTAAGCCAAGATCATACCACTGCATTCTAGCCTGGGTGACAGAGCGAGACTCCATCTCAAAACAAACAAACAAACAAACATGAAATGTAAAATACAGCATAACAACTATTTATATTGCATTAATGTTTTTGTTTGTTTGTGATGGAGTCTCACTCTGTCACCCAGGCTGGAGTGCAATGGCAAGATGTTAGCTCACTGCAACCTCCGCCTCCCAGGCTCAGACGATTCTCTTACTGCAGCCTCCTGAGGAGCTGGGATTACAGGTGTGTGCCACCATGCCCAGGTAGTCTTTTATTTTTGATAGAGATGGGGTTTGACTATGTTGGCCAGGCTGGTCTTGAACTCCTGACTTCAGGTGGTCCGCCCACCTCAGCCTCCCAAAACTGCTGGGATTATAGGCGTGAGCCATAGAGCCTTGCCTACATTGCATTGACATTGCATAGTCATCCCTCAGTATCTGCAGGAAATTGGTTCTAGGACCCCTGAAGATACCAAAATCAGGATGCTCAAGCTCCTGATATAAAATGGTATACTATTTGCATATAACCTATGCACATCCTCCAGCATACTTTATTTATTTTATTTTTTGAGACAGAGTTTCACTCTGTTGCTCAGGCTGGAGTTCAGTGGCGTGATCTCCACTCACTACAACCTCCACCTCTCAGGTTCAGGCAATTCTCCCATCTCAGTCTCCTGAGTAGCTGGGATTACAGGTGTGTGACACCACACCCAGCTAATTTTTATTATTTTTAGTAGAGATGGGGTTTCACCATGTTGGCCAGGCTGGTCTCAGAATCCCAACCTCAGGTGATCCACCTGCCTTGGCTTCACAAAGTGCTGGGATTACAGGTGTGAGTCACCGCACTGGTCCTCCAGTATACTTTAAATCATCTCTAGATTACATATAATACCTAAGACAATGCAAATGCTATATAGTTATACTCTTGGGTGTTTTGTTTTGTTTTGTTTTGTTTTTTTTGAGACAGAGCCTTGCTCTGTCACCCAAGCTGGAGTGCAGTGGCACAATCTTGGCTTACTACAACCTCTGCAGCAATTCTCATGCCTCAGCCTCCTGAGTAGCTGGGACTACAGGCACATGACACCATGCCCAGCTAATTTTTCGTATTTTTTGTAGAGATGGGGTTTTACAACATTGGCCAGCCAGGCTGGTCTCAAACTCCTGACTTCAAGTGATCCACCTGCCTTAGCCTCCCAAAGTGCTGGGATCACAGGAATGTGCCAATGTGCCACTGTGTCTGGCCAGGTTTTTTTTCTTTTTTTGGGGGGGAGAGGGGACAAGGCCTTTCTCTGTCAACCAGGCTGGAGTACAGTGGTGTGATCTCAGCTCACTGCAACCTCTGCTTCCCAAGTTCAAGTGATCCTCCCACCTCAGCCTCCAAGTAGCTGGAACTACAGGTGTACACCATCATACCTGGCTAGTTTTTGCATTTTTAGTAGAGACAGGTTTTGTCATGTTATACAGGTTGATGCTGAACTCCTGGTCTCAGGTGATCTACCCACCTCAACCTCCCAAAGTGCTGGGACTACAGATGTGAGCCACCATGCCCAGCATATATTATATTATTTAGGGAATAATAACAAGAAAAAAAGTCTGTACGTGTTCAATACAGACACGACCATCCATTTTTTAAAACATATTTTCAGCCAAGTGCAGTAGCTCACACCTATAATCCCAGCACTTTGGGAGGTTGAGCCAGGAGAATCACCTGAGGTCAGGCATTCAAGACCAACCTGGCCAACATGGTGAAACCCCATCTAATAATACAAAAATTGCTGGGCGTGGTGGCTCACACCTGCAATCCCAGCACTTTAGGAGGCTGAGGAAGGCGGATCACAAAGTCAGGAGTTCGAGACCATCCAGACCAACTATGGCAAAAACCCCATCTCTACTAAAAAAACAAAAATTAGCCAGGCATGGTAGTACACACCTCTAATCCCAGCTACTCGGGAGGCTGAGGCAGAAGAATCGCTTGAACCTGGGAGGCAGAGGTTGTGGTGAGCCGAGATCGCACCACTGTACTCCAACCTGGGCGACAGAGTAAGACTCCATGTCAAAATAATAATAAACAAAAATTAGCCTGTTGTGGTGGCACACGCCTATAATCCCAGCTACTTGAGAGGTTGAGGCAGGAGAATCACCTGAACCCAGGAGGCAAAGGTTGCAATGAGCCGAAATCGCACCATTACACTCTAGCCTGGGCAACAAGAGCAAAACACCATCTCCCTACCAAAAAAAAAAAAACTGCCATCTATGGTTGGTTGAATCCATGGATGTGGAACCCACAATTATGGAGGGCCAACTATATTAGGTATTATACATAATCTAGAGATACTTAAATATTAGCTCCCCTGGCCTTGACAGGCCCTTAGGTACATGCAGGGATGGAAATTTCAGCCTGCCTGGGTCTCTCACCTCAGAAAAGCAGAAGTGGCCTTCACAGCCTCAGCAGCCACCTCCAGCACAGGGCTGCTAACTGCTTCTTGGAGGACACAGCCAGCATCTCTGCACATGGCTGAGCTTGTGAACAGCTTGATCTCCTCTGGCTGCCTGAGAAATGGTAAATGAGAAATGTGTAGGAGAACTCTTATCACTGACCACACCAGGAATAAAAGCCCACTTTTACTTCTGCAGTCTGGCCCCAACAAGCTTCATGTTCCACCACTTTGCTCACCGGGTCAGGATTTCAGTGAAAAGCAGCAGACCCTGCTTGTGCAGCTCTGTGTTGTTCATCTTCAGACTTGCCTGCAGGCTCCTCACCACTGCCTCAATCCCTGCCATAGGATAACATGACAGAGGCCAGGGATCACTGCTCTCTTGTTCCTTCACCGCCCACCCAGGAGAGGTGACAGACTCTGGATAGCATGTATCAGTTGGAGGCCACTCATGGAGGAACCCTGACAAGGTTGAGCTAATGGGACCAGACTGTGAGATCTTTAAGGCCTGGCCTTCATTTGATTCATCTCTGTCTCCAACACCCAGTACCGGCCATAGCACAGTCCCTGGCACTTGAGGTTGTCAGTGAACACCTACTGACCAAGCCATATTTTCTCTACTTAGCATACTCCTATTCCTCCTTGGAGAATCAGGTTAAAACCCCACTCCTCCACAAAGCCTTCCCTGATCCACTCAGAAAGAGCTGTGAACCTCTCCTGAGCCCCCACAGCTCCTGTGCTTCCCTCTAGCAGAGCTCTAATCAGCTCATAAGGAAATTTCCCGCTTGGGTCTCTCTCCCTTTTCTGAGGGCAAGGAGCATGTTATTTGTTATCTCTAAATCGCCAGTTTCCAGCCTGGTGCCTGGTATAAACTAGGAATATAAAATGAATGATGGAATGTGCCTGCTCTAAAAATCTAGATGTGATATAAAAAGTCCCAGACAATGAAGGGACAGTTTCAAGAAACTTTGAAAGAATAAATTACCAAAACTTAGAGACTACCTGGATGGTTAGCTATCTGGGGCATGGGAAAGAATTAAATCTAAGGTTGAGTAACATTGTTTAGAGTTGTTGTTAATATGCAACAATAATTCATTTAGTGGCTAAGAGAAGTGTCCTTCCCTTGCTGAAGAGTCTAAACGTATATACTTCTGATAATCAGTGAAGAGCAGAATATTTGAATATCAATACTTGCATATGAAATCTGGTAATAAGTTTGGGCTAATGGAAATATCTAGACTCAGCACTCCCCTCCAAGATGGAGGCTAGCCCCCCATCACTGCTGCTGCTACCTAGCTGTAAACTGCTGTCCACCCAACCCAAAGCTAGTACAGGACCCTTACTACGAACCATACACCGTGTGGCACTTGGAAAAAAAGAGTCGCTCTTCTGCCAGGAGTGTCAAGCAGTTGAAGCTGGACCACACGAGCACTTCACTGGAAGAGGAAAGATGCTCAAAGAGGAACTCTGACAGGGGAGAGGATGAGAAAACAATAAATGACAGCAATGTGATAACGATCCCTTAACTGATGCTAAGGACTTGGATTTATTCAACACCTTACTCTTGCTACTTCATCTGTTCACTTACCCTCTCCATGAGTCATTATCATCAATTCACTAATAAACCCGGAAAGTATCCTTGGTTATGGTTTAACCTCTGCTTTGTAACAGATAGGGAAACTAAGTCCCAGAGAAGAGGCACTAGTAGTGAAAGAAGTGGGATTGGAACTTACAACTCCTAATTCTCAGAATGGGCAGTGGCATGGATGAAGGAAAAAGTTTTTAGTCAGAAAGACTTGACTAGGCTTGCCAATTCTTTCGTTCTCTGAGCCTCAACTTCCTTATCTATAAAATAGTAAAGGTGAAGACCTAAGTGTGGTAACATTTGCAGTGCACCTCAGGGCATATATCCCTGCTCATAGCAGTCCCTTGAAAAATATTGCTTCCTGTTGCCTTCCTGGTCCACAGGTCTTTCCACCATGCCACATTAGCTTTTTATTCCTAGATGACCAAATAAATGACAAAAATCAGTAACAAATTGCTCAAGGTCATACAAGAAATCTGTAGCAATAGGATTCAGATGTTATGAGACATACTTCATAGAGTCTGTCATACACAATTGAACCTGTCACCACCCCATCCTTCTAGTATAGGGAGGAAAAAGTTAAAGGGCTCCCCTACCTGGAATGTCAGCATGGATGAAGGCAGGGGCATACTTCTCTGGGGAGTGGACAAGCACCGCAGTTATACAGTGAGCACTGGCCACCTGCAGGGTTTCATCTCTAGAGAGGAGAAGCTGGAGAAACAGGCAGCAAAAAATACCCCAGTCACACCACCAACAGGACCAGAAAAACTGACCTGGGTGCCTCAAGACAATAGCCTATTTCTGATCCTTTCTGTTCCACATGGCACCAGGCACAAGGATGGTGCTCAGAAGAGCAGTTATGGCCGGGCGCGGTGGCTCAAGCCTGTAATCCCAGCACTTTGGGAGGCCGAGGCGGGTGGATCATGAGGTCAAGAGATCGAGACCATCCTGGTCAATATGGTGAAACCCCGTCTCTACTAAAAGTACAAAAAATTAGCTGGGCATGGTGGTGTGTGCCTGTAATCCCAGCTACTCAGGAGGCTGAGGCAGGAGAATTGCCTGAACCTAGGAGGCGGAGGTTG